ATGTTCTGATATTTGAAATAAAATTGGAAAGTCAAAAGTGAATTTAACAATTCAAATTCATGTTCATGTATCATACTTGTTATTTGATATTTGAAAATTGAAATTGAATTTAGGGGGTGTATCCAAAGTATAATTTAAAATGACTTGAGTTTTCTTTAGGAAGTTCGTATTTTTATTTTAAACTTGTTAAAATAAGTTATAGAAACTGAAGTATAAAAAATTTTAAAATATGTTTTAAATGATGTATATTCGTCTACAATATTAATTGAGAATCACAAATAGGAGATTGTCTAAAAATTTTATAATTTAAAAATTAGAAAGATAGAAAACTATTGAAAAAATTATTAACGATTGTAAGTATGAAACTATATACTATTTTTAAGCTAAACCTAATTACGATTATCTATATATGGACTATTTGACTACTCACCCTGTTTCATTTTAAGTGATGTTTAAGGTTGTTTCACACAGATTAAGAAAACATATTGTTTTTTCCATTAAAATTCCAATAAGAAAATATGATGTATAATATGATTGGTCAAAATTTATTAAATAGATTAAATATATGCATAGAAAATTGAAAACATCACCTAAAATGAAACGGAGGGAGTAGTGTTCTTTAATTGCATTCGTAATTGTCTTTTTATTCTTATATTTACGTTTTTTCTATTAGAAATGTCTATTTTTAGGTGGTAGTAATTATTATTGTGTGCACATTTGATAAGTAAACATGGATATGAATTTATATTTTAGAATCAAAATATAGTTAGTATTTAAGATCATATTTGTTAAGATTCAGATTCGGAATTTAAAAGATCTCAAATATAGTTAATATTTTATTGATTGAGCTGTTATATATATGCTAATTAATGGAGATTATTTTATTAATAGATATTCCTTATATTGAGTGTTTTGAAAAAAATATAATATGCTGGAAATTAATTGGAAAGATCGAAACAGAAGATTTTGACAATTGAAAGATCCGTATATTTTAAAAAAAAACATCGGACATATATGTTTTTAAGGAGATTTGACTATAGATTTGGGATACATAAAATGTAATTGTTTTTTAAGATTATATAATTTTTGAAAATTTAATGATATAATTATTTATGTTTTATATTTCTCCACATTTTATGCTTTGTACAATTTTATTAGTCGCTTATTCCTAATCTAACAAAAGTATTTTTTTTTTTTTTTTCATAAAATATCATATTTATTTTCTAATATATTTGATCATTTTATTAGATTTTATTAAAAATTATTTTTCTTTTTATTTTCATAAAATATCATATTTCATTTTCTAATATATTTGATCCTTTTATTAGATTTTATTAAATATAAATTATTATTTTTGAAAATATTACAAAATACATATAACTAAATTTAATTATATTTAGATATCTTCAATTTCGAATTTAATAATCCAATTTTTATGGTAACCAAATCAATATTATTTTCATAATTATAGTGGATACTTTTTATTTTATTTTATTTTTAAATTTTTTTTGCTGTCTTTAAATGTGTTTGGCTACATGGTTGGGATCACATTTTATTTCATTTTTTTATTTAATCTTGTTTGGAAACACTTATAAAAAGTGCTCCCCTTTTAATAGTATAGATGATTAAGTCCTTTCATTTTCTTTACCATTTGATTATAATTTATAGTGTAATTAAATTTGTATTGAATGATTGTCATAAACATTTATTAAATTTTAAAAAAAAAAT